ATAGATCTACTTGATTTTAAGCATTTTGGAGTTTAAAATTTTATAATTAGATATGAAATAGATTTTCAGATAATTCTAAGAATGTTTTACACCAAAATTACATGTTATGATAAATTTTGGACGTGTGCCTTAATTGGATAGTTTAAGGTTGCAACCTTATAGAAACCACCCTTAAAAAAACAAATTAGTGACTGGGATAGTTCGTCTAGAAATTCAATGAATCTGCAGTCCGAGTCAGCAAAACTGAGTCGTTTCTTTTGGTTTAAGGGTGGCAACCGGTCGGGTCTATCCGATGAGTGCTGGGTTTGGTTGAGTTCATTGCCACCCTGTGATTATGAGTAGTGTTTTAAAAAGTTGCCTAGGCGGCCGCCGAGGCGGTCTAGAAGGAATGGGCTCATCGCCTAGGCCTAAGGGGCCAAATTAGGCAGATATCCTTAGGCTCCTGCATAAGTGCCTTCCTAGGCGGCCTCCCAAGGGCGGAAATGCGGCACTTAAAGTATCTTTGGGTCATTTTTTTATTATTAAAGGGACAAAATTGTGGGTTTTAAGTTCATTTGAAACCTAAAACTTATTAGAAGTTGTTTTAGAGAGAGAAAACCCAAAAAAAAAAAATTCTACTAGGCCGCCCAGGTGGGCGCCCGTCTAGGCGCTGGGCAGCCTTGGACCTCCCAACCGCCTAGGTGCCGCCTAGCGCTTTTTGAAACACTGATTATGAGATTCTTCTTCTTTTTTTTATCCTTTTTTACTATCATATAACCATATTATTGGCAACATTTATAGTATTGCACAACATTAATGAATACCCACATTCCTTATTGTTTTACATAATAACAAAAAATTTCTAAAAAACAAACGTATTGGCAAATTTAAAAATACCCACATATACCCATATTATTCTGGTCGGGTCCAGCTGGACCCAGACCTCGACCCAAATAGTATTCGGATCAAAGTATTGGACCCAGGCTTGATTTCTTAGGTCCAAAATTTGGACCCGTACCCGGACCCGAGGTCGGGTCTAGCTGTCGGTTCCATTGACACCCCTACTCTGGTTCACTATGTAGATCGGCGAGTTCTAATCCAACTCGTCGTTTTCTAAGCCTCGATAATAAGGGTTTGACCACCTCGGGGCAAAAGCCAAAAGTTCGAAAGGTTTACATAGCATGGTTGCAGAAGTGGAGGCGGCAAAATGCATCATGTTTCATATCATCCCAAAAACCCATGCGCCGTCCATGCGATATTGCTTCAAATCCATGTGCCACGGTTGTTGGCTCCACAAAATGACAACCCATGCAATGCAAGCCGCAACTTTTTGGACCTCATAAAGTGAAGCAGCAAATCAATCTTTTATCACCCCAAGAAGTAGCAAATCGATATATTTTTGTTTTATGTAATGTAACAATTCGATATCTACTTGCTGCATTCGGGCAGCAAAATAAAATTCAGTGGGTCAAAAGCAAGTGCCCGAACTGTGGGTGGCCATGGCGGTGTGTGCCACATATATAAATTGTAAAGTGTATGGTTTGTATAAGGCTAAGGCATATGTGACATTTTTTAAAATTTATTTTTATATCTAATTATAAAATTTAAAGTTTCAAAATTAGTGTAGATCAAACAGATCTATGAATACTTGAAAATCTTGAAAATTGACGGTATAGAAAATGCATTACAAGATGCACTATTTTCAAGACTTGAGATCTACTTTTTCTCATGTCCATAGATCTTGAAGTCGAAATGATCCATTTGAGAATTTTTTAGCATCACAATAACCTCTCCTAGTGATTTTTTGAGGTACACCTTAATTTAATTCTTTAGGGCCTCACCTTTATATAAAGTTTTTCAATTTTAAAACTTTGTACTTAATTTTATTGTAAATATTGATACACACACTCTAATATGTCGACGCCTATCAGAAAAATAAAAACAACAAAATAGAAACCACAAGAGTTGTAAAGATTACCTCCTTGGATTTGTAGCACCAGTTGGAAAAGGGCAATTTAGTTTGAGTGGGACTCTAAAGGGCGAGAGAAAGACCTAAAAGGACATTGATAAAAGTAGTGAGAAGAGATATAATGACTCATGATGGCTGAAGGTATAATCTTGTTGAGCAGAATGATATAAAATTAGTTATTTGTGAAGATGACTCCAAATAGTTGGAATAAAACTCGTATGATTTTGACAATGACTTTTAATATGTTGTAACTCAACAAAATCCTTTCTAAAAACTCCCTTAGGAGCCCAAAAAAACATATCTCAAAAACTTGTGATGTGACCATATAGGAAAATCCTCTATTCTTCTCTCTTTTAGGGTTTCTCCTATTCACCGAGGTTTGCTCAGTCCTGTTGGCTCTTCTCTTATCTTGTATACATACAGACCTCTTATTCACGCATCGAAAGTATCTAATTGGAGGAAGAGAGAGTCCAGAATAAAGAATACGAAAGGGACAATGGAGAACAAATAGGTTAGAGAGCATATGGAAGGATTTAGTTGGTCAGAGAGAGAGAAAGGTAAATTGGAGGGAGGAGAGAGAAAGGAGGGTCTTTGGACAGGAAAAGATATCTTTTATTCATACTTTATGGTGTTCGAGCCATTTGTACACGAGTCCAAAAATCAAATATCCAAGTTGGATGAGAAAGTACTCATATCCATCCTCTTAGGAAGGAGACATACTATGTATAGGAGTACACAGATGATGAGCTCGGCTTTAAGTTATGGGATCCTAAGTACATGAAGGAGATCAGGAGTACGGTTGTGGTCTTTTAAAAAGACCTTATCATTAAAGACGTGAAGAAGGTAGCAAAGCCATGAATATTCAATAGTTCAGAACCGGTCATAGTTTCTCCCACCGTGGTAAATGAAGATGGAGGAGAAGTGAAACAAGATGATGAATCTAAAGAGTTTGACATGTCAGTTCCACATGATGAGGAACAAGGGGGGCAACCTGTTCAAGAAGAGCCACTACAATTGAATTGAGAAGGCTATCTAGGGGATATAAACCCTCTACCAATTAACCCACATCAAAGTATATCTTATACACTGAAAGAGGTGGACCAAAAATCTACCAAGAAGTTCAGGCCAACAAACACAAAGGGGTATAGGTTAAAGCTATGCAAGATGAGACAAATCCTTGCATAAGAATCACACCTATGACTTAGTAAAATTGCCAAAAGGCAAGAAGTGTCAGGCAAATCCCTTCAATCAAGAGGAAGAAGAAAGACATATATAACGATATTATGGGTCGGCTATAAGAAGCACACACAACGGAAGCGTGGTGAGCAGATTCATCGCTAATCTTAGCAAGTAACATTAGGCAACACTCAACTGGATATTCAAATATCTTAAAAGAACATCCAAAATGTGTTTGTGCATTGGGGGTGGAAAACTTGTATTACAAAGATGCATAAATGAAGACATCATTGGAGAACTAGATTCCAAGAAGTCAATCATGAGATATTAATAACTTTTGCAAGGAGAGTTATTGAATGGCAATCCAAGCTACAGGAGGGTGAGAAACTGTTGTAACTAGGAAAAATCTATACCAACAAGAATACATTGGATATGACGTCGAAAACCTTGGCTAAAAACAAATAAGAGTCATCCAGAAGCATGACTGACATGGGTGCCACATGAGCACCTGATTAATCGAAATTGGATGTGAGGGGAAAGGTTATATTGAAATTCATGAAAAAAAGGTGGGGTCTCTATGGTAAGAGAGATTATTTTAATCAAGAGAAAAGAAATGGGATACAGTGTTGGAGTTGTTAGCCGATTTCCTAAGTTATTTATGTTACATTATAAAAGGCGCACACATGGCAGTCCGTTCAGATTATATGCTCTCTTTTTTATTTTTTTTAAGCTTGTTTTATCTTTGTTAGTCACTAGGTGCTAAATTGGATAGCATTGGCCTTGTTATGAAATTTGTTCTTTTTAAAATTTTAAAGCTAGTTAATGACATTTTTACAACCTTCATTTGAAAATTTTGACAAACAAAATTGATTGTAAGGGTGGCAACGAGTCAGACACGAGTTGGGTCCCGACATAGAATACCACTTATGGACCCATACGTGGACCTAAAGAACCAGACCTGTACCCGTACTTAGGATATGGATTAAGACCTGGGACCCGAACCTCTACTTGGGGCAAAATGAGCAAATCCCCTTTTTAATGCATGATTATGTAAAAATCCCCCAGATTTTGTTTTTAATGCGTAATTATGAAAATCCCCCAAATTTCCTAAAAACATCGCATTAAAATGTCAAAAAAAGAGTACAAAAATCAAATAAAGACTTTCCATTTTGGTTTAAGTGTTTGGTAAACATTATTTACATATATAAATAATGTTTTTAATTTCCCTATAAAGGAAAAATTATAAATAATTCTCAAGAATAGACTTCCTATGTAACTTACCTTCAACCAAAACGTTTTTTTTCACTTTTTTATTCTAAATTTAACTTTCCTAATAAATACCTCCCAAGTCATAAAAAAGGTAAAATGAAGATCAAAATACGAAAGCATACGGTCCAGCACTTTGCTTATGGAAAGCATGCAGTCAGGCACAAAATAGGGGCGGTATGGCACTTTGGAAATGCGTTCGGCACAAAATGGGTCAGTCTTTGCTTCTAGAAAGCATGCAGTCCGACACAAAATATGGGTGGTTCGACACTTTGAGCCTATGGTCTGACACAAAATAGGGGTGGTTTGACACTTTGGGCATGCGGTCCAGCACAAAATGGTAACAAATATGGCTTTTCTGACTAGGGGATATTTGCTAGAAAAGTTCAATTTGTGATAAAAATTGCTTTAAAAAAAAATTTTTTTTTTTTTTTTTTGGAGTAGGTCGTTTAGAAAGTCTGATTATGTTTTGTTTTTCTTTTTTTTACCCGTTTATAAATGTATTTGCGTCACGCGCGAGAGGTGCAGCGCCCATCGGCTCTTGAATTAAAAAGTAGATTTTCTTGCGACCAATCTAGGCGCTGGAGTATGGCCGTTGTGGAAAAGATGAAAAAGCGCGGCGGCAGATACAGACAAGAGAGCAAGGAATCCACCCCACTCATTGCTCCTCCAAAGAAAGGAAATGCAATAGAAAATGTAGGGCCTTACATCACACACCTCTCTGTGGTTTGCAAGCTGGGAGCCAGTAGTCACCGCGTTAATTCAATGCGCTTCCACTTCTACTCCCACATTGCCTGTCTCCCTCCCTCCCTCTTATAAATCTCTCTCTCTGTTTCAGTCTCATGGCCATGGCCATGGCTATGGCTTCCTTTGCTCTTCAGCTTATGCTGCTAATGGCGGCGGTGCTGTTCGGATACTCCGCGGCGGCCAATGTGACATACGACCATCGTTCTCTCATTATTGATGGGAAGCGAGAACTTATCATCTCTGCTTCTATTCACTATCCTCGAAGTGTTCCTGGGGTACCTTTCTCTCTTTCTGTCTCTGTCATTCATATGCTCGTTCCTTTCTTCATTCACTCTGAAAACAGTAATGTATGAGAAATCACTTGTTTATATTATAGACTCTTTGCTGTTTCTGCATTGTAGTATGGAACATATATTTGTTAGAATCCTTTGTTTCGAGATGCTCAGCGAGTTATTGTAGCAGAACATTGAATTTGATGTAGGTTTCTTTGTAATGCTCTTTAATAGAATGAATTTGAACAAATTCATGGTGTTATTCTGCATCTATGCGAGTCCTACTTGCAGCGTCTCCTATGGTTCGAATTTTGAAAGACCATTTTTTCACAAATCTAAACATCTAAATACATTATGTTTTTCTTCACAAAAATATGGCTAAACATCTAAATACATTATGTGTTTCTTTCCAAAAATATGGCTTCTTAATGTTCTCTCATTGCTACCTATGAGTAAAATCTGTTTTGAGAAACAATTATTCGAAATTTGGCACTGGACCGACTGTTCACTATTATATGTTTGGGATGCTAAAGGTGGTTGTTTTAGTTTGGACTTCTAGTTGCTTGGTTGTTTTAGTCTGGACTTCTAGTTGTTTGACATTCAAAGTTCTTAGAGATTCATCATGCAGTGTATGGAATGAATAGGCATAGAAAGCACACATAGAGATTGAAAATGGGAAGAAATAGATGAGATAAACTTGAACGAGAAAATAGGGCTGTCCAACAATCAATGTTCAGAAAGTTGGTGAGTCCTAGTTAAGCAGACCTGGACGCCCTGGTGAATTTCCGTACAGAATCAGGTATCAAGAAATTAGAAAATCATAAAAAATTATATGTTTTGTTATTAAATCATTAATAATGATGTATAAATATGTTTATATATAAATTTTATGTTTCTTATTATGATTTTTGAGTTTTTCTTGTTACACGCTCTATTTTTCTTTATTTGTTTTTTATTTTTTTAAAATTTTCTGAATTGTTCCAAGTTATACATGATTTTTTTCCATATTCCATCTTATTTATACTTTTTTTTTTGTCTTGTAGACTTTTAATGCTGCTTATAATATTTTTTTTACTTTTTACTGAATTTTTCTTTTAGCAACTTTTTATTTTATTTTGCAATTTTAGTGCTCTTCTTGGGCTCGTACATGACTCGGGCCAGTCCACTCGGATCTGCCCGAGTTACTTGGCTCAGACAGCTCCCGAATTTGAAGCCTGATATGAGTTTTGACCACTGCCAACAATATTCACAAGAAGAAGCATTAGCTAACATGAATTTTTAATGCTTTATGTGGTGGAAACAGATGTGGCCGGATCTTGTTGCCACTGCCAAAGAAGGGGGTGTTAATGCCGTCGAAACTTATGTCTTCTGGAACGGCCATGAACCCACTCAAGGCCATGTGAGTTCTTTGAGGAGTTATATAATATATTATATTATGCACACACATATATGACCCATGAGCTTTGATTCTCTTTATCTTCTGAAACTTAGTTTCTCTATTCGTTTAGAGCATTCGATTCTTGTGATTGGTGCATCTCATCTTCCTGCAGTATTATTTTGGGGGGCGCTATGATCTGGTCAGATTTGTAAAAATTATCCAGCAGGCTGGACTGTATCTCATCTTACGCATTGGTCCATTTGTTGCAGCAGAATGGAACTTTGGGTTGGTGCATTTCTCCTCTCTTTACTTTGAATTAATAATATGTTGATGATTTTAATGACGACAAAGAAGTCAAGGGTAAAGTACATGATGGACAGTGATTAAGGGATAGCGAGAGACATCTTGGGGGTCATGTCCCATTCTGGTGGATCCCATTCTCTTCTTCATCATACATCATTTCAATGGAATTAGACAATGATGACCCAATGGGCTATGGTTTTTTCATACTCTATGGGATTAAAGTATTCTTGCCCAAAGAAATACAGATCTGCTATGTTGTTTGCTTTTGCAGTTCAGTTTTTGATAGTGCGGGGAAGCTCTGCTAGGGGCATATCGCTTTTCAGCACAACACACACACACACACACATATATATATATATATGTAAAATAAGATTTCTGATGTTAAAGTGTGTATTTCACTTCAGGGGGGTTCCTGTTTGGCTCCATTATATCCCTGGTACAGTTTTCAGAACGGATAATGAATCCTTCAAGGTTTGGAATCCAATATATATGCTTAT